GGTTCCTATCCCCTAATTAGTCTGTGTATAAGTGTTCCCTCTGCCCCCTTGTCCTTGTGGGTGATTGTTAATTGTGAGAATAATGTAGCTCGGTGGAGCTACTCATAACATTGTGTTGTCAGGCTAGTTTTTCCCCCTGTGCCTATGTATTCTTGGATCCCATTACAGTGTAATTGCTAGGGATGTTTGTTTCCCCTGTGCCTGTTTCGTTGATCGCTATTGCAGCGCATTTGTGTGTCAACGAAGGAATAAACTCTGTATTCGGTGATTACCCTCCTGCGACCCTGGACGACCTGCCTGCCAATTGTGCGCCGACCATGAGTCTCCCGTCTGCGGCCGGCTTGCGACAGAGCCTGCGATTGAACCAGGTAATTCTAGTGGACACAGTTAGCACTGCGATGCAGTGCCTTAGACCCACTGCGCCACTCAGGAGCCATACTTGTCTTATATTAACTCCAATGTCTCGACCATGTAAAAAACATGTCTGATTAGGATTAATTATATCCGACAATACCTTTTTAATTCCATGGCAATGCATTTTGCAAACATTTTTGCATCACAACACTGAAGTGTAAGGGGCCTCCAATTTTTTTAATGGAATGCATTTTAATGTGTACCACTTGGATCCTGTTTCAGTAATAATGAAATCAGATCTTCTTGTTGAGTATCTGATAATCTACCATTGTTATAGGAGTGATTAAAACATGATAATAACGGTCCTCTGAGTATATAATTAAAGGTTTGGTATACCTCCACGGGCATGCCATCCAGCCCTGGAGTTTTCCCAAACTTAAAGGCTTTAATTGCATCAATAAGTTCCTCCTCTGTAATTTGGCCTTCACATGAGTCTTTCTGTACAGCTCTTAATTTTATATTATTAATATATGTTTTTTCTCCATACAAATAACTTTGGTTAGTGGAGATGGAGGAGACTGAAATGAAAACATATGCTTAAAGTACTTTGCTTCCTCTTTCAAAATATTGTTTGGTGAATCATGGGTGACTCATTTCTAACAAGTTTCAGTAAATTATTTTTAGTAGCATTTTTATGTTGAAAATATGTTTTTTATTTGTTGTCTTTGTCCTTTCAGCACCCATTGTACTTTCCAATTCTCGTCTGCAACTCTGAGGATATCAATGGAGTTGTATATTGAACTTTATTTCAATATACAAGGGTTTTGCAAGTGTTTTGGTTGATTTTGGTTGTTTATAAGTGTTTTGGTTTATTGTGGTGGTTTATTAGTGTTTTGGTTGATTGTGGTGGTTTATTAGTGTTTTGATTGTGGTGGTTTATTAGTGTTTTGGTTGATTGTGTTGGTTTATTAGTGTTTTGGTTGATTGTGTTGGTTTATTAGTGTTTTGGATGATTGTGGTGGTTTCTTATTGTTTTGGTTGATTGTGGTGGTTTATTAGTGTTTTGGTTGATTGTGGTGGTTTCTTATTGTTTTGGTTGATTGTGGTGGTTTATTAGTGTTTTGGTTGATTGTGGTGGTTTATTAGTGTTAGTGAGGGGTGGTGTGTCTGTATCGGCTCTATTCTGCAGTTAATTTTTTGCTGTTGTATTGATTTATTGATTTATCATGTTTGTGAGTTGTTTGTTCTCAGGGCACCTTTGAGAATGAGACCCTGGTCTCAATTGGGCTCCCCTAAATAAATACAATGTCATTGTTACTTTTAGTCTGAACTACTATTGTTCTTTCACAAGCTGTTTTTGCTCAAACTTGCCTGCCCCTATAAAGGCTGTTTTTCTTAGCAGTTCACAACATACTTTACTCGAAAAATAAACAACATGAATTTCCACGAAGGGAAAACACACCAGCTCACATAAGTCTTAGACACAAAACAAAGAACAAACATGCACAAAACCATGTGGGAACCAGAGGGTTAAATAGGGAAATAATATAATGTAATGGGAACCAGGTGTGTACAATCAAGACAAAACAAATGGAAAAAGAAACGTAGATCAGTGGCAGGTAGAAAGCCAGTGACGACGACCGCCGAACGCCGCCCGAACAAGGAGAGGCACCAACTTCGGCGGAAGTTGTGACACACATACAGTGAGGGAAAAAAGTATTTGATCCCCTGCTGATTTTGTACGTTTGCCCACTGACAAAGAAATGATCAGTCTATAATTTTAATGGTAGGTTTATTTGAACAGTGAGAGACAGAATAACAACAACAAAAATCCAGAAAAACGCATGTCAAAAAAGTTATAAATTGATTTGCATTTTAATGAGGGAAATAAGTATTTGATCCCCTCTCAATCAGAAAGATTTCTGGCTCCCAGGTGTCTTTTATACAGGTAACGAGCTGAGATTAGGAGCACACTCTTAAAGGGAGTGCTCCTAATCTCAGCTTGTTACCTGTATAAAAGACACCTGTCCACAGAAGCAATCAATCAATCAGATTCCAAACTTCACCATGGCCAAGCTCTCCAAGGATGTCAGGGACAAGATTGTAGACCTACACAAGGCTGGAATGGGCTACAAGACCATCGCCAAGCAGCTTGGTGAGAAGGTGACAACAGTTGGTGTGATTATTCGTAAATGGAAGAAACACAAAAGAACTGTCAATCTCCCTCGGCCTGGGGCTCCATGCAAGATCTCACCTCGTGGAGTTGCAATGATCATGAGAATGGTGAGTAATCAGCCCAGAACTACATGGGATGATCTTGTCAATGATCTCAAGGCAGCTGAGACCATAGTCACCAAGAAAACAATTGGTAACACACTACGCCGTGAAGTACTGAAATCCTGCAGCGCCCGCAAGGTCCCCCTGCTCAAGAAAGCACATATACAGGGCCGTCTGAAGTTTGCCAATGAACATCTGAATGATTCAGAGGAGAACTGGGTGAAAGTGTTGTGGTCAGATGAGACCAAAATCTAGCTCTTTGGCATCAACTCAACTCGCCGTGTTTGGAGGAGGAGGAATGCTGCCTATGACCCCAAGAACACCATCCCCACCGTCAAACATGGAGGTGGAAACATTATGCTTTGGGGGTGTTTTTCTGCTAAGGGGACAGGACAACTTCACCGCATCAAAGGAACGATGGACGGGGCCATATACCGTCAAATATTGGGTGAGAACCTCCTTCCCTCAGCCAGGGCATTGAAAATGGGTCAGTGATGGGTATTCCAGCATGACAATGACCCAAAACACACAGCCAAGGCAACAAAGGAGTGGCAAAAGAAGAAGCACATTAAGGTCCTGGAGTGGCCTAGCCAGTCTCCAGACCTTAGTCCCTTAGAAAATCTGTGGAGGGAGCTGAAGGTTCGAGTTGCCAAACGTCAGCCTCAAAACCTTAATGACTTGGAGAAGATCTGCAAAGAGGAGTGGAACAAAATCCCTCCTGAGATGTATGCAAACCTAGTGGCCAACTACAAGAAATGTCTGACCTCTGTGATTGCCAACAAGGGTTTTGCCACCAAGTACTAAGTCATGTTTTGCAGAGGGGTCAAATACTTTTTTCCCTCACTGTATGTTGAAGTACATTATTTCATGTACAGATGTAGGATCTTATTTGACCTATATTGTCACAGCAAAATAATCCTGCAGCAACAGGATTTTAATGTTTAGTCCATAATGTTGCTTGTATCAGTGGTTAGGCTGTTAGCTGACCAGAAGTAGGTTACATGAAAAGTGCGATACTATTTATTAATAACCGTGTTAGTGTGGATTTTCAGTGAATTTATGTAAATCACGAAGCTCATCTGCATTTCCTGCAGTGAAGGAAAATTCTCAGTAACAAAAGAGGGATCAAATTAAGATCCTACATATGTAGGCACTGCACTGCAAAACACCTCACTTGGTTTATCATATCAAAGTATAGTATGAACAAATGTGAACAACATGAATTAAATGAAGTAATAATCATGATCAGTCATTTTTACAGTTCATTGCTGACTTCCTCCACACACTAAGCTTTAAAGTTTAAAGCACTGCAGAGAAACGGCATTCACATTCACAGCGTTAGGTGTCTACTAAGTCAGCGGAACTAATCAGCCTGGCGTGAAAACATGTTCTTAATTCTGACAAGAACACAGTATGTGACTGGTCCATTATGACTCTAAAGAATGTGTAGGGCCATTATTACAGCCTGTGTGAATGACACAGTGTCAGTGGTGAGGGGGGATGGATCACCGTGACTCAACCGATGTGCCACATTAGGGGCTTAAAACGCAATCCTTCCTCCATTTAGGCCTTGAATACTTTGGCAGCTGCTCTCCCACTTCAAAAGACCACAGGGAAATAAAATAAATGCTTGTCGAGGAGACCATTACCTAAACTAATTGACCATTTTCAAACAATTACTGTATAAAAGAGTTGCAGATTTTAAGGACGGAAGAATAACTTTAAATTCCAGTTTAATAGTGGAGTGATGTGAACTACAGCAGTGAGCTGGAAGGCCTCAGTTGCTGATAACACCCAGTCTCATTTCTGTCTGACATCTTACTCAAGAGGCAGGAGGCATCTTACTCAAGAAGCAGGAGACATCTTATTCAAGAAGCAGGAGACATCTTACTCAAGAGGCAGGAGACATCTTACTCAAGAAGCAGGAGACATCTTACTCAAGAAGCAGGAGACATCTTACTCAAGAAGCAGGAGACATCTTACTCAAGAAGCAGGAAATATTTTACTCAAGAAGCAGGAGACATCTTACTCAATAAGCAGGAGACATCTTACTCAAAAAGCAGGAAATATCTTACTCAAGAAGCAGGAGACATCTTACTCAAGAAGCAGGAGACATCTTACTCAAGAAGCAGGAGACATCTTATTCAAGAAGCAGGAGACATCTTATTCAAGAAGCAGGAGACATCTTACTCATATATTGTTTGCAGATGGGTTTAATGGTTGTGTTTTATGAAGGGTGGTCGGTTTGTTTTGAGTACATACTTACATTTCACTGTCAGTGGGGAAACTGTGAAGGAATGTACAAATAAGTGAGGTCCCGCTGTACAGGATATAAGCAGCAGCGGGGGACAAACATTTGAAGAGCAGCCATGATGGCGGCAGATGAGGGGCCATCTGACCTCAAACCCTTCCCCGTCTCTGAGACTCTCGACTGCGCCATCTCTTCCAGACCTCCCACCCCCATGGAGTTCACGTTGAGCTCTTCTCGTATCCCTGTCACTGCCGAATTGAGATCATGATGGGGAAAATTATCCTCATGTTATGTAGTGTCATTTTGATATACGGCCGGGGGAATTATGGGCCTTTTATGTCAGTCGGCTCTTACTGAATCAATTTCCTCAAACTGACAATCACCGCTGAGCAGTATCCAGGCAGATGTTCTCAACAGAGCCTCACTCAGTGTGAACTAAGGCAGCATCAGTATTATGTAGAGTGACATAAGCGTGTTTGTAAGTGGTCATTATCCGTGCAAAGAATCACACCAATTACCTGAGCACGAAACCTTTTAGTCACGGTAGACTAATGAGAGAGAGAGAAGATGTTACTGTTGTTCTCCAGAATATGAGAAAAACAATAGATAAGTGGAGAATAAGTGGGGGTTCACTGTTGCTTTGATTGCATTGAGGATGCTGTGTAAGAATTTACCAACAAGACTTGAGTTACTGTAGTCTGCAAGTGAAGAAGTACATGCTCAGAGTGCATACTCGTGCTTGCAGAGGCTAAGTTGGGCCCTTTTGGTGTTGTTCCAAGAAAATGTTGTCTTTCCATCATTATCATGAACAGGGGCCTTTTTGGTTTTCACAGTATGATGTCTCTCATTCTTGTGGGACACAGTTCATTTGGGTTTCCCCTAATCTCACCCCAGGGTGTTAGGTGTGGTAGCAGCCGTCGTGAGGAAGTAGCAATTGCCAAATATACCTTAACACTGGTCTAATATTATTTTGACCCAGTTATGACTGTTGTGTAAATATATCAGACTGCTAAAAGATTAATCTGAGAGTGTGTTTGTGTGTGTGTGTGTGTGTGTGTGTGTGTGTGTGTGTGTGTGTGTGTGTGTGTGCGTGTGTGTGTGTGCATGTGTGAGTCTGTGCCTTTGTGTACGTGTTTGTGTCTGCATGCGTGTTTGCCCCTGTCTTTGCTTCTTTCCGTACGTGTTCAATTCACTCAGCACAGCACCAGTCCTTAGTTACCACCATAGGCTGTCCTCTATTACAGCACCAGTCCTTAGTTACCACCATAGGCTGTCCTCTATTACAGCACCAGTCCTTAGTTACCACCATAGGCTGTCCTCTATTACAGCACCAGTCCTTAGTTACCACCATAGGCTGTCCTCTATTACAGCACCAGTCCTTAGTTACCACCATAGGCTGTCCTCTATTACAGCACCAGTCCTTAGTTACCACCATAGGCTGTCCTCTATTATAACACCAGTCCTTAGTTACCACCATAGGTTGTCCTCTATTATAGCACCAGTCCTTAGTTACCACCATAGGCTGTCCTCTGTTACAGCACCAGTCCTTAGTTACCACCATAGGCTGTCCTCTATTACAGCACCAGTCCTTAGTTACCACCATAGGCTGTCCTCTATTACAGCACCAGTCCTTAGTTACCACCATAGGCTGTCCTCTATTACAGCACCAGTCCTTAGTTACCACCATAGGCTGTCCTCTATTACAGCACCAGTCCTTAGTTACCACCATAGGCTGTCCTCTATTACAGCACCAGTCCTTAGTTACCACCATAGGCTGTCTGTCCTCTGTTACAGAGCTGTCATCATATGGAGCTATTAAAAATAATAATTAAATAACTGCTGACTGAAGACTTTTGCAGGATATTGACAGGCTAGATTGGATTGGCTGGCTGGCTGGCTGGCTGGCTGGATGTGGTGTGAGAGGATAGACTAACGTTGCATTCACACACAGTCCTGAGGACGATGGATGACCCTGACAGGAATAGATAAAAGATCTGAGTGTAATGGCCAGAGGATGCCTGACACACACACACACACACACACACACACACACACACACACACAACACATATGTGTATGAATATGTACACACACAAACACAGTCACACAGAGACACACAATCTCACACACACCAAGTTCTTGATTGCTGTTTTATCCCTTATTTCCCCACAGATAAACCTACAGAGGAGGATGCGGGTCACAGGCCTAATTACCCAGGGTGCAAAGCGCATCGGCAGCCCAGAGTACGTCAAGTCTTACAAAGTGGCCTCCAGTGATGATGGCAAGACCTGGAGGACAAACAAAGTCAAGGGCACAGACGAGGACATGGTGAGACACATACACACACACACAGCAACTGGAGATCACACACCAAGTCAAGGGCAGAGTGGAGGACATGATGAGATGGCTTTTTAATTAGCCAGCTCACCCCGGGCTCATCTTCCTAGCACTTACCCCCCTCCACTTTTTATGACTTTTAGATTGCATTTTATACTATTTGGGGATAAACGGCCACCAAATAGGCTCCCCGGCACTCTGTCATTTTTGACAGCGCACTATGTCCCCGGTCCCGTCCTCCAACCAGCCATCCCCCTTTTGACCCCAGCCTCCAATGGATTGAGACATGGATTGTGCACGTGTACCATTCAGAGGGTGATTGGGCAAGGCAAAAAATGTAAGTGCCTTTGAACGGGGTATGGTAGTAAGTGCCAGGCGCACCAGTTTGTGTCAAGAACTGCAACGCTGTTGGGTTTTTCATGCTCAACAGTTTCCTGTGTGTATCAAGAATGGTCCACCACCCAAAGGACATCCAGCCAACATGACACAACTCTGGAAGGATTGGAGTCAACATGGGCCAGCATTCCTGTGGAACATCTTTGACACCTTGTGGAGTCCATGCCCCGACGAATTCAGGCAGTTCTGAGGGCAAAAGGGGGGGTGCGTCTCTATATTAGGAAGGTCTTCCTAATGTTTGGTATCCTCAAACATAGACAGTACCAGTCAAAAATTTGGACACACCTACTCGTGCAAGTTTTTATTTTATTTTATTTTTTACTATTTTCTACATTGTAGAAGAATAGTGAACACATCAAAACGATGAACTAGCACATATGGAATCATGGAGTAACCAAAAAAGTGTTAAACAAATGAAAATATATTTTATATTTGAGATTCTTCAAATACCCACTCTTCTCTCAACAAGCTTCACCTGGAATGCTTTTCCAACAGTCTTGAAGGAGTTCCCACATATGCTGAGCACTTGTTGGCTGCTTTTCCTTCACTCTGCGGTCCGACTCATCCCAAACCATCTCAATTTGGTTGAGGTCGGGGGATTGTGGAGGCCAGGTCATCTGATGCAGCACTCCATCACTTTCCTTCTTGGTCAAATAGCCCTTACACAGCCTGGAGGTGTGTTGGGTCATTGTCCTGTTGAAAAACAAATTATAGTCCCACTAAGCCCAAACCAGATGGGATGGCATATCGCTGCAGAATGCTGTGGTAGCCATGCTGGTTAAGTGTTGGCTACCACAGCATGAATTCTTCACAGACAGTGTCACCATCAAAGCACCCCCACAGCTTAACACCTCCTCCTCCATGTTTTACGGTGGGAAATACACATGCAGAGATCATCCGTTCACCAACACCGCATCTCACAAAGACACGGCGGTTGGAACCAAAAATCTCAAATTTGGACTCCAGACCAAAGGACACATTTCCACTGGTCTAATGTCCATTGCTCGTGCTTCTTAGCCCAAGCAAGTATCTTCTTATTATTGGTGTCCTTTAGTAGTGGTTTCTTTGCAGCAAATCGACCATGAAGGCCTGATTCACAAAGTCTCCTCTGAACAGTTGGTGTTGAGATGTGTCTGTTACTTGAACTCTGTGAAGCATTTATTTGGGCTGCAATTTCTGAGGCTGGTAACTCTAATGAACTTATCCTCTGGAGCAGAGGTAACTCTGGTACCTCTGCTTTCCTATGGTGGTCCTCATGAGAGACAGTTCCATCATAGCGGTTGATGTTTTTTGCGACTGCACTTGAAGAAACATTCAAAGTTCTTGAAATGTTCCGTATTGACTGACCTTCATGTCTTAAAGTAATGATGGACTGTCGTTTCTCTTTGCTTATTTGAGCTGTTCTTGCCATAATATGGACTTGGTCTTTTACCAAATAGGGCTATCTTCTGTATAACCCCCACCTTGTCACAAGACAACTGATTGGCTCAAACGCATTAAGAAGGAAAGAAATTCCGCAAATTAACTTTTAAGAATGCACACTTGTTAATTGAAATGCATTCCAGGTGACTACCTCATGAAGCTGGTTGAGAGAATGCCAAGAGTGTGCAAAGCTGTCATCAAGGCAAAGGGTGGCTATTTGAAGATTCTCAAATATAAAATATATTTTGATTTGTTTAACATTTTTTTGGTTACTACGTGATTCCATATGTGTTATTTCAAAGTTTTGATGTCTTCACTATTATTCTACAATGTAAAAAATAGTAACAATTAAGAAAAACCCTTGAATGAGTGGGTGTGTCCAAACTTTTGACTGGTAGTGTAATAGTTGTTACTCTAACAACTGTAAGATTAATGAGACATGCAAAACACTGAGGTGAGAGACTAAACTCAAAACCCAGTTGTTCATTTTCTTGCCTGAGAACTTTGAGTCTGACTGTAGGAGTGTGCTAGCCAGAAAGTTGACTCACTGATGCTCTGACCCAGAGGGACCCCCCTTTTGAGTACACCTCTGTGCAATGCTGACCTGAATTAATCCGGAAAGAGCTGCATTCCTTAACACACACACAGACACACACACACAAACATAAACACACGCATACCTTCACCTGAGAGGGCCCTGTGAAACACTATATTAGTTAATTCTGGGATAGCACTGTAAAACAGTCTATATGGTATGGCAAGGTAATTGGTCCACTAATTCAAAACACGTCGTGTGCTTACAAATTACCAGCTTAAATGGTGCGAAAAATTGTCTATTTTTCCAGTAATTCGAGCTCGTTGATCTTGAATGGCAGCAATTTGTTGAGTTTCGAGTCGACACTAGAGACACTGTGAGAGACTGTACACAGAGAGACAATTTACAGATAGACAATTTGCTTCCCCCTTCCTATCCCTTTTAACCCTTCTTCTGTCCTATAATTTTCATCCTCAGATATTCCGTGGAAATGTGGAAAACAACGCTCCCTCTGCCAACTCCTTTACCCCTCCCATTGAGGCACAATATGTGCGCATCTACCCCCAGGTCTGTAGGAGACACTGCACCCTGCGCATGGAGCTGCTCGGCTGTGAGCTCACAGGTGGGTCTAAGTTCCATAAAGTTCTGACCGTAACCATTAGGGGTTCAAGCAGAATAATTCTTGACTAGAGGTTCCACGGGTGTCGCGCCACCTAGATGCGGGTAGAAGTTCCCCTTCTTGGAAGAAGAACAGGACAGTTCCTGCATTTCTCAAGAAGTACGATAGGGGGCGCCATTGAGTATTGTCAAATCTTATTTCTTTGGAGGTATTGTATTGAAGGTCATTTGCAGTTGTAGAAAGGACGGTTTCCAGAAACTATTTTGTTTCTCCAGGCTGCTCTGAGCCCATGGGGATGAAGTCTGGCCACATCCAGGACTACCAGATCACAGCGTCCAGCCTCTTCAGAACACTCAACATGGACATGTTCACCTGGGAACCCAGCAAGGCCCGTCTGGACAAACAGGGCAAGGTCAATGCCTGGACGTCTGGACGCAGTGACCAGTCCCAGTGGCTACAGGTAAGAGGCTACCCCCCTGCTTCCCATCTAAGGAAACATAGGAACAGGAGTTTCTCCTGGCCACATAATCTGACCAGGAAAAACAGAGGACTGTAGGAATAGCCTTGTCACATGGTCAGGAGAAATCAATGTGTTATTTTTGGGCAGAAACTTGCATAAAGGAACTTATACTATATGCATTCAGAACTTGTGGCTCATGGGAGAATCATACTTACAACTTTATTTTGCAAACATCATACCCCTACTAACTTAACCACCAGAACTTCATAACTCAAACTAGCCCTATTTCAACCACCTTTTCTATAACTACTCCTGAAAGCAACACCGGCCACTCGTGCACTGTGCTTGTGAATCTGTCCTCTAGTCCTCTTACCTTTGGCTGCAGCCCGGTACGTGCTGTCACACTACAGTTATCCTATTAGTGGTCATTAAGGTAACTGATTGTCTCAGACGACCCAGCCGGGGCCTTAAGCAAAGACGCATCCCTCAACGGACGCTTATAGTCTGTCCACCCAGGAACTGGAGAAGTATCTCGTTACCAAAAAGCATGAGAGACTGACTTAGAGAGTATATGAGAAGATGTTGCCTAGAATAACAGTTGGAACAGAGCAGGTCACAGCTGTTTAGAATCATCGGGACTTAGCCAGATGTGACTCAGTGTTTCAAAACAACCATAGATATAGTACAGGTGTAGGATCTTAATTTGATCACCTGTTGCAGGAGAACTTTAGTGCAATGCAATACATTTTAAACTTGTAGTGTACTTGAGGTTAAAAAAGGCTTCTGAAGTTTGTAATTTCCACTTTGGAATTTCAGACTTGATTTTCCCTTACAAAAATGTCCATGAATTATGATCATAATCATAATCATAATGATCATCATAATAATTCAAATTTCCTGTTGCTGCAGGATTATTTTCATGCTGTAACAAACTGACAAATTAAGATTCTACATCTGTATATTCTTATTGTTTATTGCAGTGTACGTAGTTGACTTAAGATGCTGAAAAGTTCCAGGGCAGGAGATAAAACCTTCTCCCTACAGACTACATGTCACGAGTGTCAGTGTAATGCGGTGGATTGAAGTCAGGCGCAGGACACAGAACTCAATGAAACGTACTTTACTGAATAAGTAAAGAATCCAAAATACAAAACACCTCCACACAGGGAGGAACAAACCCGCTCACCAACGACACACGAAACGAAAACAAACACACACAAAACACATTGGGAGCCACCGGGTTAAATAGGGAAGGAGTAATCACGTAATGGGCAACAGGTGTGTAACAATCAGACAACAGGTGCAACATAGAAACATAGAACATAGATCGGCCGTAGCTAGTATTCCGGTGACGACGAACGCCGAAGCCTGCCCGAGCAAGGAGGGGCAGCCTCGGCAGAATCCGTGACACTGCACTTGATCCAACACGAGTTATGCTATCCTGGCATTACAAAAGCTCTGTTATAAAACGTTCCTCTTGTTATGACTCTGTCACCTGACCTGACCAGGACAAAACTCTGGATTCTAGTAGTCTATATAACATGTCCAGACTAGGGCCTGGAGTTTTCTAGCTGGTTAGGTGACATGGTCAGGAAAACTCCTGGCCCTAGACATATTGCAGTGAAAATACAGCAATCATTTGTTTTCTGGAGCAGTAAAATAAAGGGCATAGCATTTGTGTCTGATGGTCATTTCTGGGATGGGTTGTTCCCCGGCCTTTCTGTCCTCTCCTACCTCTCTGATAGTCCGTTAGAGCTTAGCAGTGACACAACCAGTGCCCCGCAGTAGTGCCCACTTGTCTAGCCATAAATAGATTGGCTGAGCCTGGAGTGAGATATGTTTTTATCACAGCAAAGGCCTTTTAAGAAGGAAGAGGCCAGGCTGTGCAGTTAGACTAGCTCCAGACAGGTCATGAAGCTCAGTTGAATTGATTGCTGTGGATAGAGGGAAACTTGTGGTTTGATATTACATGCTGTGACTACAGGAGGAGGGAGAGGCTATGAAGGCAGCTGTTAAATCAATGGCTTCCTCCAACGACAAGGATACATGGCGACGCCCACTTCTCCCCACACCTACTAGACCTATGGCAAGGAAAAATAAATAGAAGCATTGATGTTTTCACCTCACATTAGTGTGTTTGTCACAGGAAGTATTGATGTGCATATGGTAATGCACTTTGTGTTTGTTTATGTGCAGTGTATGGATATGTGGGATGTGTATGAATGGATATACTCTACATATGCATGTAGGTGCCTCTACTCACAGTTCAATGTCTTCTCCGTGCCAGTAATTGATTCCCAGTGACATTACTGGATGACTTTACACTTGATAGATTAATGGAATGAATCACACTTAGTGACAAATTAAGTATTCTAATTAATCAAGACAACTGCAGTGTAGCAGCAGCAAAAAATCCTTTACAGAGTGCAAACATGCCAGACTAGATCTAGCCATGCAAGAGACTGAACCCGCTCTCATCTGACTAACGAACCAGTCACTGTAATGTAATGTTGATATTGTGACATATGTATCTTTATCTTGAGGAGACCAAATACACCAAACAAACATGATATGGGTGAGCCAGACTTTCTTTACCACTTTCATGATTTGTCTGTACAAATTTTTATTTTTTAAACAATACAACACATACACATCTAAATGACAGCATACAGAGGCACACAAACTTAAACAACATCACACCTGCCCAGACCCACCTGCTAACACCCCCATCTCCAGCGCCCGCATCACTCACCATTTTGTTTCTCTTTGTTGCCCACGCACTTTCAACATTTTGGGCCCATGTTAACGATTAAGGATTGGTTGATTTCCAGTTTTTAAGTACATTTTTTCAAGATGATTGATGAGAAGTATCGTCCAACCCGTCGGGTATCTCACTGCACCCTCATATGCCATGTCTTGAAATATGCAGCTAGACGGATTAAAATAACATTTACATTGTAATAACTCTCATAGCCAACTTTCGGTCCCGCTTTAAACGACGTTCAGCTTATAAAGTCTTCATAAAGCCTTTAATGCCTTCATAAGCACTACAAAAATGTGTTACAAAGCATCTATAACTGTATGTCATGCTTTATAAAGGGTTCATAAATGTGGCATAACTGTGTGACATAATCACCAATGTCAAATGTGACATAACCCACTATGTTGAAAATGATATAAACATGTGCTTTAGAAAGGGTGACATGTTGTGCTGAAAGATGGCATAAGCTCTAAAATAATGTAATGTTAGTCACATTACACCTAATCTCTTTCCCAGACATTTCCGCCCAAATGCCCGGAAGGTCTAATTGACCAACGCATCAAACTTGGCCATCAGTTAATTTTAAGTAGATAAATTGTGGAAATGGGCAGGGTTTAGCCATAATTATGTCTTTTTGACTGTGTTAAGTAGTGATGATGACAAATAATTTACTCAGTAAGGTCACTCCTATAGAATTCTATGGTCACTCTCACTAAGGCCAACTTTGAATGGTTGATATCCCAGGCTTATATGTGCTGTGTGTGCAATATCCTGGGGACGATGTTACACCAAGAAACACTTACCTTGATGAAAGCCCCCAACCTAAAGAAATTGAAAGTATATTTCTTCTGAAACCAAGTTACATGTTCCTCAGTACACAAACACGCACACAACAAAAATGAGCTATACTGCGCGGTGCTGGGCCCAGTCAGGTCTTTGACACATTCACCCACTCCCCCGCTGAAAGATCAGCCACAAAATGTTGTCACCATTGTAACAAGTTGTAATCAAGCCCTGGTCTCCAACATTGGAACAGAAGAGGAATACCTGGTGTGGTAGTCTCAGGTTGGACTACTCCGTGTCATCTAGGTTCTGACACACACAAATGCAAGCTTTGCAGGTCCATCAAATCATTTAAATACCTCTCACACCCTACAGTCACCTGTGGATCATGAGAGAACTTTCATAAATCAGCAGAACATTAATAACCTATTTATTTACACTTGCTGTTGTGTCCAGTAATACTTTGTTTGAAGTGAGACACCTCCGGTCATTCATAACACATCCATAAAGACTCTATATCGCATGACGCTGTACTTACTATAAAGTCAGACACCTTTGGTCATTTATAACACATCCATAAAGACTGTATCGCATGACGCTGTACTTACTATAAAGTCAGACACCTTTGGTCATTTATAACACATCCATAAAGACTCTATATCGCATGATGCTGTACTTACTATAAAGTCAGACACCTTTGGTCATTTATAACACATACATAAAAGCTTAATGATGTAAACACAAATGTATTAACACTTTATCACTAACAGAATGGACACTAATGGAATTATCACTAACAGCTCAAACAACTAAACATTAAAAACATGTTTAAACCATACATTTCCTTTTATTTGTAATGTTATTAAACAATACAAATACATGAAGTTTCAAAAAGTCCAGCATTGCAATCACATTGAACATTACACAGGGCTGTGAATAGTGTAGCTTGTCCCTGAGCTGGAGGACGTATGGTTCTGGCCTCTCTTCCTGCTGGAGGTACTGCATGTTGGCTCCAACCTTAAAAGTAACAACAAAGAAAGTTAGCAGGTCTGTTAGGAAATGCCTTTGTCACATCCCCTGGATAAGGACATTTCTGTGCTGTGCCAGAAACTCAAATGAGAAGATGGGAAACTCCATTCAATTCATATTATTATATTCCTCTTTCAGTTACAAATCTCATGACGTGACGATGAGACGTGGCTGTATCTAGGGTGATTTGTATTTAGCTGAGCCTGCTAGCTAGCTACATTTTGGATAGCTAGTAATTGCTGTGAAGTCAGCGAAAGTATTTGAAATAACAATCGAGGTAGCTATAGTAATCTAACTCAACACTTAACTACTACAAACTAATTTAAATTACAATAAATAAAGGTTAACTTGTTTTACGCTGTCCAGTGGCAGCACAAGTGGGCATTTGATTTTACTCCACCCATTCCATTGGCGGCCGAATCACATCACATGTGCACTTACTGCACTACAGAAAACAGGGCATGGTCACTGAATTAAAGGGCAACTACACTCAAAAATACAAGTTTCTTAGAGTTTTTCCAGA